GTGCTCGGCTCTCTGCACGGAGAGGGCAGCCCACCACCGCATTTGCACGGGGGATCGTTGCTTATTTTACTAGGAAAAGGGGACAGAGGCAGGCAGAGCGGCACTTACAACCAGAAAACCCCGGGAGCCCGTTCTGCTTTCCCAGGACACCCCCTCCACCGGCTTCTAGCATTTTCCAAACACAAATTAAGCCTCGGTTCCGCTATGGAGCAGGCTCTCTCCAGGGTAAACAAGGTGGTTTATAGCTAGCCCCCGTCCTTCCGCGGAAGGAGCTGTAGTGTCCGACTGCTCTTTCAGAATTACTGCATGCCATATACTTTAAAGGATCACCCAAAATAGTTTACAAATCATTTATCAACCCCACTGCCAAAACGCAGCCACCTTTAGAGTATAAAATACCAGCTGTCCTATAATGGCAGAACCCTTAAAGAAAACATCCAGCTGAAAACAGAAATACATGGAGAGAAGAGCAAAGTTTCTCCTCTCCAGCAGAGGATGAAAAGGAAGCCAAACCCCTTTTACACTTCACTTGAAAATTACCTCCCAAACCCTTCTATCTGATCACCGCTTATAGTCATCTCCCATTCAGACACTAACCAAACCCAACATAATCGTCCTGTGGCATAATTTTAACACAGCCGTTTCAAAACAGTGACTGTCCAAAGTCAACAAGCAGAATAACTCAATTAAATCACAATTTCAATGTTATCAATCATATGACAACCGCCTGCCAGTTTAATTTTACTAAGCCACATCGCATTTACTTATCAAATCTAGAGAAAGAATGACAAACGCAGTGAAAGTTTTTATTCCTTTATTGATAAATGCTTTCCAGACTTTCCAAACTGGATTGTTCAGTTAAAACCAAAACCACAAAATACTTTCAACCTAAAATCCTCAATGTCCTGCTTAGAAGACACAAAGGGTAGCTCTGTTCTGACCACAAAGGAAGCAAGATTCTGGCTTTGGAAATCTAGAGCTTCAGAGTTGGCTTTTTAAATAAGATCTTAAAGATTAATTTACAAAATGCAATATAACTATGTCATATGATGCATGGCATTGAGATCTGCAGGACAGCGAAGAATCTTCAAACATCTTGAGCTGATGTCTATGAAGGGGCTATTTGGCTTCTTTGCATCCTACAGGAAGAGATGACGACAAGTTACCTACATACAGCACACCTCACTCCAGGCTAGTGAGCTTCCAGCATTACAAACCATAAGGACTCCAAAATAATTTCTCCAAAGGTACAGAGAAGCTGTTAAGAGTTGTGGATAATATCCATTTCTGATCATCTGACATGAAGCTCAAACTCTTCAGCAGAGAAGCCAGTGACTGGAGCCACTGAGAAATACACGGATGAAAACATAAGAACCCGCCATCATTCTTCAGCATTTTGAGTTGTGACATCTGACCACAACAGCTTCCCAAGAAGTACTGAAGATGTCGATTCCGGACAACCCACAGAAAAATGGATCATCAAAAGCGAGAAGAGGCATTCAAAGAATCAAAAACCTTATTCAGAAGTTAAACAAGAGCCAGCTCCAAACACAGGAGCCAGCATTTGCTTGGACAGACCTATGCAGTGAAAGGACATTCCTGACACCAGCACGTTAATAGGTACTGTAGGCAGATGATTGTCAGGATACGGAATGGGCATTAACAGCCTATTTAGCCTCAAAGTCACTAGAACATCTTGTGTCTCTCATTTTATTTCCCAGATTAGCAGTTTCACAAGACTCATCTCAATACATTATTCCTTCCTTGACATGTCAACTGCTAGGAACATTTCAGGGATTTATGCAACATCTTTCTGATGCTTAATTAAAATAAGATTTCTGAATAATACTTCTAAAGCTTCTACAGTAAGGATTCCGTTGTGAAAAACTGCATTGGGGTTTTTGTTTGTTTCTTTTGTTTTTTAAAGAGTGGACTAAAAGCACACAGGTGCTGCACCCGGACCTACATGGGCCTCCAGACTGGCTACATTCACTAACGATCATGCTTTATTTACTCTGATTCTGGAAGCTTTTAAGTGAAGCTAAGGACCAAGACACTCACCAGTCTTCCTGGTTTAAGAGGTAGCAGCAACCACACCCACCTTCTGGGCAGCTTCTTTCTTGGCTTGGTGAGCCTGCAACACTGCAACAGCCTCCTCCACCTCGGGGAGACAAGTTATCTAGTGAGACCTATTCTCTTGACCAAAGCCTCCCACAGTCCACCCCATCTAAAGGAACAGGCCGGTTTACCTTTGACCGGAGGGACTCTGGAGACTCTAGCATGTGCAGCAGCTCTGAGTTGTCAATCTCTAGCAGCATCCCTGTGATCTTCCCCGCAAGGCTGGGGTGCATAGCTTGAATCAGAGGGAACAAACGTTCTCCTGGGGAAAAAAAAAAAAGGAGTTCAGACAGCTGAGTTTCAATTAAAAAGTCATCTTTGAAACCTGAGGGGATTTCCAAAGTAATACGCAATCTGTAAGAACTGAAGTTTCACTTACCCAGCATCTGTTTCTGCTCCTGAGGAGGGGCAGCAGCCAGCATGGAGGCCGTTAGCGGTTCCTGTCCCTGCACATGTACTGCAGGCTGAGGTGCCTGTAGAAGGGCAGACATGAGGGTTCTGAAATAGATACTAGAGTGATTGCTTCATATTGAGAGACAATAAGAAGATACTCCCTCCTTCTAAAACACAACCTTTGTCAAGCCTACAGCAGACTTAAGTTTCAGAAAAGGACAGATAAGGTGCCCTTGGTTCACAAACATGCTCCCTCCAAGTCCTGAACTCAAAACCCCCTAATGTCACACACGGGCACTGTAAATATCTTACAAAAACTGTATCAAACATTGTGAGACAAATATCACAATTGAGAAAGAGGAACATCCAGACCTGCTTTTTTTTTTTTTTAACACCACAGAGGTTTGTGGGAGAAGCAAACTGTGCCTTCAATGACGCCCCAGTGAGGATTTGGCAAAGAGGTGAGAGAATGAATGGTTGCAAAATGGGAAAGCAAAGAACCAAGAAAAATAGCCTTACAGCAAATCTGGGTAAAAAAAAAGGCTTGCAAGTACAAGACAGATAAACCAACTAGGTTGCCCCTGGAAAAGGTACAACTGCCAAGTTTTTAAATTCTGAATTACGATGCCTGTCTGGGTTATAAAAGTAGCTTGAAGTTTCTGTAAAAACACTTCGGCTGCATGTAAAACCTGTTGGACTGCAGTAACTGCAGGGACTCCCAGCCCAGACCCTTGTGTTACCTGCAAAGGCTGTACAGCTGGGTGTGGGCTGCGGA